ATAAATATTTGATGGGTTTGAACGAAGCTCTGTTTTCCTCTATGAGGTCAGAMTATCCTGTGCTTCAGGAACAGGTTAGGTTGGAGGGGAGACGGGAATCCAGTATGGCTTTGGGCAGGCACTGGGTGTTCCTGAGCTCCTAGAGTCAGGGCTGCTGTTGGAGTGACAGGTCTTTTTTTTTTGTACCTGCAAACAGCTGAGGAAAGACTTTATGCCTGAGTGAAACTTTATTTTCTTGTTAAACTGCTTTTCAATAGAGAACTGAGGTTTTAATATAGTTACATTGGAGTATTTGCTCTCCCTATAACACTTCACTTTTCTTGAAAACAAAAATCACTTGAAAATGGAATATTTTGGACTGAAATATTTTAAGTGGAAAAAATCATAGACTTTCCACAGAAGAGGCAGACACAGCAAAACGTGCACTAAAAATAACCCTGAAGAGAGCCGGGGACCTGAAGTGCCTGCTTACAGATTCCATGGAGCGGCTAAACCGTCTTGCCGGAGCATTCGCGGGTGCCCGTCCTGTAGGAGGTGGTTGGGTTTTTGGCTGGGGCTTCTGAGTGGTTTCTTAAAGCGGGTTTCACTGCACTCGAGTGATTGTAGCGATCCGTAGCACTGCCTGTTGTCACTTGTAGTCCTTCTGTGTCCGAACAGTTCAGAGTAACCCGGAGGCAAGTTATCCACACGTGTACGTCATGCATTCTCCGTGTGAGGTGGGAGCGCCAGGTACCRAGTGGCATGTCAATGATAACAGGCTATTAACCCTGCACTGTGGCTTGTAGCACTCAGTCCKCTTCAGACTAACCCAGGTTTGGGTTTTTCCTACCCTCTCTCTGCTTTCTGAAATGTTTCCCGGCCAGAGGCAGGAGCCATTTCTTCATTTACAATAAGTGAATGCCATGGATGTGACACCTGCCCTTTTCTGGGCTCTCACCCAGGGATTAGACTGTGCCTGGGGAGCGGAGTTTTTTACATACAATGCACAGCTGTGATATAAAGAGCCTTTTGAAAGGGAAGCTTGGCAGCTTTCCCAGAAACTAACTGAAGGGTCCATTTGTGCCTTACCTGTGATTAATTCCATTCCATTTGAATTTGCAGTGGAAGGACTTGAGCCCAGCACTAACAAAACCTATTTTGTTATGCAGTTCAGTGCCTCTAACTGTATCCCCAACCTCTGGGCTTCCTTACCTTTACAAATGTTGACTAATATTAATTACGGGTGTGCCGCTTAATCGTCTAGGAGTGACCCTCTGAAGTGGCATTTAATCAGTCCCGATGCAGCTGGCAAAAGCGAGTTCTGCCGGAGGACCAGAGCAGCAACACCTCGGGAAGGATGCGAGGGATTCAGAGAGACACCAGTCTCATGGCAGAGCTCGGGGGCTCGAGCCAGGGCAGTCTGCRAAAACCCTCTCTGTTACTTAGCTCTTCGTTGGCTCTTCCTTTGTTTTTTGTTCTTTGTTTTTTTAAAAGTGAGAGGGGAGCATAAGCAGAGGGAGAATTCAAGATGTCCCTGTCAACATGTCATGGAAGGGAGTGTGTGTTGCAGTCCTCAACGGATGGAGTATCCCAAGAATCGGAGGGAAAAAGGAACTGGTTAAACTGGTATTAATGGAGCTGAACTGGGGAGGGTGACGTAAGCACAAGAGACACCTGAAGTATTATATGGGATTTCAAAGGCGAAGAAAAGAAACCTAACCTCTTACCATAGTTGAGGGCAAATGTGAGGTGGTTGCAGGATGGCTCTCAACCTCATAGTCATGAGACCAAAGTACTGGATTTTGAGCAGTCCACGGAGGAGCAGTGTGGGCATGAGGGAGCCTATGAAGGGAGGCAGCAGAAGCAAAGTGTGGAAGACTGGAAAATCAGAGACAAGCAAAATAGCAGCCCAACTGTTTAATCTGATGTGAGCTTTCGCCTTGATAGTTTGAAGCATAGGCTTCCAAAATGACATGTGCTAATAGGTGTTAGAGAAAACTGGCTCAGTATTTCCCACTGCATCCAGTGCTTCACAGGAYTGTGTCGCAGGATGGGCAGGCTGGGTTGAATCAGGTAAACTGAAATGGAGCAAGCTCTTCCAGAGTACGTGSCAAAGACTTGGAGAGTTTTTTTGTGTCCTACTGCAGACCTTCATCAGAAGGGCATTCAAGAAAAAATGAATACCCCCCCCCCCCAATCCGGCTTTTCATCTCTTCTCAGATCAATCTACTAGACGTTTCTGCTGAGGCAACTTGAAATTCTTAAGCTTTGCTTCAAAAGGATTCATGAATTCCCCTCACGGTTCAAGTGCACTCACCAAGTGTGGGGAATTCCTTTAGATCTCTTCTGAAGAATGCTTTTAAGTCAGGAGGCTGTATCTACAAAGCAAAGTCGCTTGCTCACAAACCAGCTCTTCGCTGGAAGCACCATCTCCCTAAGAAGATTCACTATTGTTCCCTGTTTCCTCTTGCCTYTCTGTAATTACCCCATGGCAAGGTGAATATCTTCATTATATCCCATGCCAAGCTGTAGTCCCCCTCCTACAACAGAAGATGAACATCAGCCCAGCTCGACCTGCACCAAGAGCAGGAGTTGGCCTCTGAAAAGCAGGTTTCTTCCCCAGCAATCCAGCCACAGACTTGCACCTTTGACAATGGTTCCCTTTCATCTCTCGTCTTTGCTGCTGCCTGGTTGATTAGTAAAAGCAACTGACTTGGGAAGCAGATTCAGGGCCAAGCCCAAAGGCTTTGCTCTCTGTGTGTTTGCGTGGGAAGTTAAATTCCTTTTTGGAAGTATCTCACCACTCCCCTCTCCACATCTTTGGTGGAAACCTTGCTCTTGTTTGCTAGCTACAACACTAAATGAGCACATTCTTACCTCCTGTTAGCTTTCTAGCTTAGCAGCTTTTGGCTTCCCAAAGGCATCTGGGGTGAGTATTCAGTTTCACTGGTGTGAGCCAAAGGTCTCCAAACTCCTCTCTGCCAAGAAAGAAGTGTCATGTGTTCGAGCTGTGAGGCTCTAGTATGTTCATAGTCACCATTCACTGGATGGTTCTGCCATCTTTGACCAACAGTAAGGACTTTCTTTCCTTGTTCTTTTTCCCTTTCTCCTGCCGCTATTCCATGCCCTTGTTTTTTAAAAGCGTTTCACGTGTGTGTGATCCCGTGGTGGTAGGGGCAGGAGCTGTGCACAGGACAGCCTGGGAGGCAGAGGGAGGTCCCGGCAGCTGTCCCCCTCCCTACAGTAACTCCTTGTATTCCCGGGTGTAAGGTGGGTGCTGCTCTTGCACTTACGTCTCCTGTCTGCAGCCTCCCCTCCGCCCTGATCCATGACTTTATTCCCATCCTCTGTTGCATTTAGCGGCTTCTTGGCACTGGCTGGAGGCAGCCGCAAGCTGCCCTGCCAGGAATCACTATCCCTGCGGCAGCCTCCTCCTCCTAGGCTGACTCAGCCTCTCTTGGGCACAGCCCTTTGAGCAATTGCTCTCTCTGCCCTATCCGTCTAGAGCTCTTTTCCCAGCCGTCCGAGCAACTGAGTCACTTCCTTCTTTAAATCTGCCCTTAAATCTTCCTCTTCGCTTAGTCTCATGATTCACCACCGTTGTGTTTTGAGAAGCTCCCTGTGAAGAGCCCTGAGCAAGGAGGTGCTCCCCGTGCAGAACGTCCGTCCTCTTTGTCATTAAGGCAGGGCCACGGGCAGCAGGCCCCGTGCTCGGGGACACCAGTGTGGCAGCTCCCTGCGTGTTACTCAGCAGCCAGCTGGAGCAGTSCCAGCAGGTTTCTCTTAGTGTTAAGTCTGACGTGGTCAGAGGAGTCAGCCTCTGCTTGGAGGTGAGCGCGTGTCGTTTCCATTGCCATCAGCGCTCGCTGCCTTCTACCACCCTCTTTAATTAGATGCCATGCAAGAGCCATTACAGCGTCACTGCCACTCCTCCTCATTTCTTGGAAATTTAGGRGATTTCTACTTAGAGCTGAGTTGAAATGCGCTCAGAACATCTGAACTTCCCAATTTTTCATTAGGTTCATTTTGCTGCCTTACCTGCATATTCCTGTGACTGGGGCCCCACTCATATCCAAATGCCTTTATCTCTTCACAGTTCCATGCCCCCAAAAGGAATCCCCAACCAACATAGGAGTTAAATAGCTAGATGCTTGTTCATATGATTTAGCCTTATGGCACCCTAGACTTGAGTAGACCTGCTCTAGTTACCCACAAAGGATAGGATAAAATTTGCAAAAGCTTTTAAAACCTGCTTTCAGATGTGACTTAGGTAGTTAAGCACTAAATCCCTTTCACTGTCATTGCAGTTTGGGCTTCCAAGTGCTTAAGTTGCCCGGGCACTTGGGAAAATGACCTGCAAATGYCTTGTTCCTTGCCTGGTTATGAGTGGATAGAGCCAGGGTCAGGGAGCAGACCCAGATTTTGTGAGATTCTGKTGGTTTCCGTAGAAAAGTAGTGCCAAGGCCAGTGCCAAGGATGTGAGATCATATCTATGAAATACTTTGGGTTAAATGAAGAGGTTCAGTGAAAAGCTSTGAAGCCTTGTGTCACTCTCGAAAGTGGGGACTCTTTGTGAGGGTATTCTGCTTAGAGATATATGCAGGCAGTGCAATTAAATCTTCTTGATAGCCCAGGTTTCTTGAAATATGACCAATTATGGGTTTTTTTAAAGAAACATAATGTCCTCTTACAGCTAAGGGAATTTTGCAAGTGAAATGAAATTGCTATTGTAAAGGAGCTTCCTTTACTGGATGGCACAGGGCTGTGGAGTTTGGCGGGGAAGAAGACTTCAACCCGAGAAGACTTTTCATTTTAATCAACTCCTACAGGGAACATAACAAACTACCAAATAAGAATTGCAGTTTAAAACACAATACTGATAATTCCAAGTGCTGATTTTTAATAAAACTTCAATAATCACATTTTTTTCAGCTTCAAAATAGGCAACTCTTGAGAATGATATAACTTGTCTCTTTGAATACTCAGCCTTATGTTGTGTATATTTGGTTCCTCTTGTTTAGAATGAAGTTATAAGTCAGCAGCTGTCCGTCATTTTCACGCATTGCTACGGACCCTACCCGATTCCAAAGCTTGTTGAAATTAAGCGCAAGCAGACCTCTCGCTTAGGTAAGCATCCAGGGCCTCCACGTCATGACCTAAGGTTATCATTTAGTTCTTTGTAGAGGCCAGTGGGAACTCTGCATTAAAGGCTGGGTGCTTGTGGGAGGCAAAAGTCAAAAAAAAAAGTTAGTTTGAATGACAGAACTAGAAAAATGAAGGGCTCTTAATTTTCAYCTGGCCCATAACTCCCATTGATGGATCACTAGGTGTGTTAGAACAGGCCATCAGTCTGCAGAGTCCATGTTGCTGAATGGGCTGGGACCTGAGCCCAGGGCCTAAAGCCAAGCAGCTGTCCTAGTCTGAAATCACCATGACCAGCTCTGGCCGGCACAGGTCAGGAGATCTTCTCCCACCGCGGAGGCAGAGCCTCCCAGCCATGCTCAGAGAGCCCGAGTTGCTTTAGAGCGATCTAGAGAAGACATGGGTGAGTCTCCCGGCCCCTTTTCTCTTCAGGCAGAGGCTTCCCTGCATGATATAACTGGGTGTAATAAAGTCCATGAGAATAGGGCCCTCACGCAYGCATTTAGATGCAGTTATCTTTGGATCACATTGCTTAGAGGTGGTGCCAGCTCTCCACCAGATCTGGGAGGGATGGCTGCTATCATAGCAAAAGGTCAACACGCATCTCAAAGCTTTGAGTTTCCTTTGTCTGAAATGCATTGGGCTGTCTGCGGGTCTTCTGCCTCAGGCTGCCTAAAATAGCTTTATGGGCTTTACTCATGGAAAACAATATCCTTTTACACTATTGTCTTTTCTTTTGGTCAAAACAGGAAAATATTCTGTACGTTCATGACCTCTTCCACACCAAAGTTATTGGGTTATTTTGTCATTTTGTGATTCTAGATCCGCATTTTCTTAACAACAAAGAGATGTCAGATGTTACATTTCTGGTGGAAGGAAGACCATTTTATGCGCATAGAGTGTTGCTATTTACTGCATCACCAAGGTAAAATATRGAAACAATTCCATTCATTCCATATTTTTTTGGATGTTTTGTTGCCTCAGTTCTTTGAGTGCTCRTGATGCTAACAGTTCCAATCTTCAGTTTCCTCCTAAACAGAAAATCTCAACACCTTTTCTTTCTGCTTGATTTGCGGGACATTTTAGCTCTCCTGTCACTGAGCTACTGCCCTGTAGATGCTCCATGCTTATGGCTCTGCATCTGACTTCACTTTACTAAGGCAGACTTGCATGGAGCTCATTGCTGCATCTGGACCTTAACTGCAATGCATAATGCATTGGTTCTTAAGAATTATTTGTCATGTGAACCCCTAAATCCTGCCTTGCATCAGTGCAAGCTTTCTCCAGAGTACACAACTCATTGGCCTCATTTTATACTTTCAAATATAAAAGTAAGCATCTACTTGTGGTCTGTTCCCTGTGCTCAGAAGGCTAGAATCCAGATCACTCAGCTCAACTCAGCCTTAAAGTCCTTTCTTTCACTGCTCACAAACCTAGTCCATACACAGCTTTGAAATTCAAGATGTGCTTTTAAACAAATTTAGTCAGCCCTACATAAGGGTTGATTTCAAGATGTGGCAAGGCCAAGCCATTGAATTAGTGTAGTTTGAGAAATGTGAGAACCATTAATAGAGATGCTGCCCACCCTTCACTGAACAAAGGAAGAAGATTTGCATAAAGCAACTTCAATATCTGACCCTGTCTTCAGCTTAGGAAGTGCCTATTTTGTTTTAGAGCATATTGGTAAACATATAAACACATTCATTAAACATGAAATTGTTCATGGTAGAGTTTGACAGGAGTAAAAACAAACCAAATGTTATCCATATTTGAATTAACAATGTGCAGTCCTTGTATGGAAAAAGTTACTATCCAGCAAGTATCTGGTCTTGATAGATAAGCTAAGCTTTGCATTACCTCCAGAAGGTCAGATGGATTATCAAACAGAGGAAGAACAAAGGCAGATAGTTTTGACCGTGAATTTCCCATTTTCACCTTCAGATCAAATGGGAATACCTAGCTTTGAAACAAAGATTGCTATATACTTATGTAAATCTCACATAAATCAGCAGTTACTAACTTAAAGAACTCCACTGTGTTTTTATCTTGAAAGACAAGTTTGAACTTCAAGTTTTGATAATGAAAGAACAGCAGTCTATCCAGTTTTCTCTTCTGCCTTGTACCTGTGCAATTGTGTTGTGTCTATATGAAAGCATTATAAGTCTTAGCATAGGTTTTAAAATATTTTATTCCAAACCATTTTTTAAAGTGGCATAAGGCCCAAATTGATCTTCTTTGAAAGAGATAGTGGACTGTTTTTGAATGTTGCAAGTCTTCCTATAAGACTTGGTTGCTTTCAAACAAAAGAACATTAAGATTCTGGTTTTATAATATGCTGTACCACATTAGAGGATGTGAATTTCTTGGACAGATTTTTTTTGTGTGTGTGTGTGTGTGTTGTAATATCAGATGTATTTTTCCAAAACTTTGAATTGAAATTTCCAAAAAGACGGGCTTCTTCCTTTCAGTTTGAACTTTGTCAGTGTCTACACCTTGATGTCGCTGAGYGACAAATCCATTCATTTCAATGTGCTGTTTCTGGAGGAGCTGGTGCCATCCTTCCACTTTGCTGTGCCTTTTCAGAGAGATCACTGGACTGGTATTTCAATTTTGCTCATTTCTGTTTAGGTTTAAAGCGCTGCTGTCCAGCAAGCCCGCAGCTGATAGTACTTGTATTGAGATCAACTATGTGAAGTACCCCATCTTTCAGGTAAAGTCAGTTCTCATATTGAATTTGAACGGAACATTTAATAAGACCATTATACATAGCCTGCCCAAATTAATACATTTGTATTTGATATACACTGCTCAGAGTATTGTTCCATGAACAAAGGCTTCATCTTCCTTTAAACACTAAGCTGCACAGTGCTATTGATTGCAAGCATGTGCTGTGCCCCGGCAGATATAATCACATACATTTCACTTGAATGAGGTATGCAGACATGGGACATTTCAGTGTAAAGTACTTGATATCTGTTTATCCTATAGGCTCTTTCTATATTTAATGGACAGGCTTGGAGGAGACATAGCTCRTTCCTCTCTTTAGTAATATTGTTTAATCAGATTTATTTCTTGAAAATATAAAATCTTCTTTCTGCATTTGTAGCATATGCACGTATGTCCGCATGTATATATATGTGTATATGCTTCTCTGGGCTAGAATTAGTGCTCGGACAGTTTTCATGTGTTGACTGTTACAGCTGCAGTATTCCCATTTTAAGCTTGCTTGGAAGCTCACTACAGAGGAATTTTAGTGGATTCTTTCTCATCATCCGTGCATGCCCACACACAGCTAGGTAAAGGTGTAGGTGCTGTTGCCAGGGAAGGAATAAGGCACTAAGAGTTATATATGCCATACTTCCCTGAAAAGAAAAGATGTACTAACCGTATTGGAAAAAAMCCGGAAAATTCAGAAGGAATTAATCAGCCTCCTATATGGTGTCTTGACCACACCAAAAGGTCTTGGCGATGTGGCTGATGAGAGCTGAGGAGACAAGTCAGAGTACCTGCAAGAAGGAAACATTGAAATGTGCAGAGAGCAAGAGAGTAACCAAATAAATCCTGGAAAAAAAAAAAGGAAGTGTGGGCTACTTTTATCTCCACAGTCCTGGTGTTGGAAAACCTCGGGTGTTCCATGCAATTTTTATGTCACCTTCTGCTGATGCCTTGGATTTCTTTTTGCAAACACTGCCTTTGTTTTGTTGCAGCTGGTTATGCAGTATCTTTATTACGGAGGTGCAGAGTCACTGCTGATTAAAAATAATGAAATCATGGAGGTAAGAGATGTTTCTTTGAATTGCAGTGGGAGCAATGCTAAGTGATCTGTGTGCCCTGCTGCACRACTCAGCCCTGTGCAATGCAGGCTGTGGATTTTTAACTAAACCTACCCACATCAACCATCTGAGCTCTGTAGAAACAGGTCACTGCTTCTCTGTTTCACTGAGCTTTGAAAAAAGCATCTGAATTTCTAACTCTTTCTCAAATAAGGAGTGCCAAACTAGATGGCAGAACAGCTTTAGAGAGATGCATGTGTAATCACCTGGGCTGTTGAAGAGCTTGTGCTGCAGTTCAGCTGGCTGCTTGCTCTACTTTTGTGACATCCCCAAACTTCTGTGGCTCCAGAATTTATGACTGATTGACTGATCTATTGATAACAGATCCAGCCACACTTCCTCACAGTTAAAAGTAATTACAAAGCAGCACATGACTGCTTAAGCCACAGAGGCAGCTGCAATAGGATTTGGCTTTATCTTTCCRAACTGCATTTAGCAACTTGCCTTATTACAAATATGATAACAAGAAGCACCAGAAATACTCCACAGAAATCTTTGCAGCAATTCATAATTGGGGCCAGCTGGCTGCTATCACATCAGCACTGCAGATTTCCAGCACTTGGGTTTATTTATGGAATTAAAGCAGAGCTTGAGTAGACTGCGCAGGAGAGGCAGAGTAATGTCACAGCAGTTTCAGCAGGATAACCTACCATGAGAAGACAAAAAAATTAAATCCCTTTCCCTGGTTGTAAAGGACAGAAAAAGGACAATAAGGGAATTCCTGTTATGAGGTGTTACCTTGTACCAAGCCTGTCCACCCATTTGCATCATATCTGTGCACCAGCCTGGAGCCAGGTAGTGCTTTAGACAAGACCTTGCTACTGCTCACAGACCAGAGCAAGGGGCATGTGGGGATCTGACTCCCTTTTCTTGAGCCTGCTGGGGTGACAGGTTTCAAGTTTATTACCTCTATAGATTCTTAAGCTACACGAGTTGGTTATTATCATCTGGTTTGTGTCCCTATATACTACTGGCCCTTTTCCTGACATCTCCACATCAGATCCAGGGGTTTCATTCAACCAGAACTTTGGGAGCAGAGGAGCCCGGACATTTTCTTCCTGGAATGTGATTGCAATCATATTTGCAAAGTGACCTAAACCTCTCCAGTATGCTACATTCTTTTTAGCATTTCCTGCATTCCAAAGCCGGTGTGGAGACCTAGCTGCCAGGAGTGGTCTCTCCATGCATAGTCCCTCAGTCCAATGTGGAGGGGACAGCACGGGGTTGAACCAATGAAGGAACCTTCTCCTTCTGACTGTTTATCATTCAAACTGAAGCAGGGGCTGAGGAAGAAAATATAATGAAACGATGAAAAAGCCAGCTCTGGTACTGTATTGCTCAGCAATAACTATTTTTTTCCTCTTTTTATTTTTTTTTAGCTTCTCTCTGCTGCTAAATTTTTCCAGCTTGAAGCTTTACAACGACACTGTGAGATCATTTGTGCAAAAAGCATTAATACAGAAAACTGTGTGGATATTTATAATCATGCCAAGGTAAAAATAACCACATATCCATGCATGTTATGTATGCATCTGTCCTCATACTCTGTGTGGTCATGGGTTATGATAAAAGCAACGTGCGATGCACTTAGGGTGGTTTGTCGTATATCAAGGATTTGTCATGCATTTACTGAGCTTGAGTGGCTGGTAGGTACCTAGAATAATGACAGATCTAGATCACATAGTGTAAGAGCATCTCTGGCAGCTACACATCCCATTGCCTTGCTGTTTCAAACTCTATTTGTGTCTGCCCTACGTGGCAGACCTACGCCTTATCACAGCAGCACAAACTGCTGAATCAGTTAATGAGAATCACCTACCTGAATAACACCTCCGTCTTGCACCTTCCGTGCAGGACTTCCTAAGTACAGTTGCCTGTCTCCTTCTGCCTGTAGCCCRTGGAGGTGATAGGCTCAGTGTTCTTTGCAGCTTTTCAATATATGGCAATGTCACATTGTCAAAGTGCAACGTCTCACAGCCTTGCAAGGATGGTAATAGGAAATTATTTGTGTGTTTTGGAGAGATTCCCAGCTTCTCACTGAAATCAAATATTTACTTAGCTTGTGAGGAAAACCTGAGCCATCAGGCATAAAGTCATGACATTTCGAGATCTATAAAACCTATTTTAGGTCCTTGATGAAGGTGTTTGCCACATTGATTGTGTCCCTTTTTTGTTTATGGTATGTAGTTTGATTTTCTGTTGCATGATGAAATTAATACAAAAATAATTGCAATTAATGTTTTTTGTTTGTTTAAAGTATCCTTTAAATGATGTTTCCATAATTTACATGGTCTTTATGAAAGATAGAATGGTGTGGTGTGACACAAATGTTGAACAGAATAATCCTGTGGATGGCTCTACAAACTCCCACTGATCAGATATTTATTCCCACCGTCAGGTATTTCCTCCAGAGAGTGGTAATGATAGGTCTTGATGTGTAGACACACGCAACTGGTATTTGAAATAGCATGAAGTACCACTTCCAAATTCAATAATAGATTAAATGTATCTGCAGGTCCACTTACTGTAATAGGAAAAAAAATCACAGTTATTAGAATCTTGTTGAAAAATACCTGATTAATCTTCTAAGCAAGGTGGGAACTTAGGGATTTATGTTACTGTTGCCAAAAGCAAAACACATAATGTGTAAATAAAACTCTGTTTAAGATCACATATCTTTCCTCCAAATTGTGAAATGTAGCTCTTATTTTCATCCTGAACATTCTTGAGCCCAACTGTAGACTAGTTTTTCCATAAGGGCCTCAGCCTGAAACTTCTCCATTCATGGAGAGGTGGAGGTGGTGTCTAGGCTTGAGAGGCTGGGGCCATGTGTGTGTTAACATGTGGAGTTCACAGCAAGGGTATCTAAGCTACCTGAGAATGAAGTCCTGGAATTAGTTAAACCAGGTCACCCTAGAGCTCTGCCTGGACTAGTTTACCCTGCTTCCAGTAAATTACCAGTGAGAAGCTCCGTAGTGCCACAGTGGAAGATTTCCAGGACCTGAACTAACCCATTTAATTGTAGTTCAGATATCTCKCTGTTATCCTGCCTCCAGAGAAGACCCTCCGTGTTTTTGCTGCAGCTCCATGTGATGTGCGAGTTGTTGATTTGAGACATTCCATTCTGCTCAGAGTGCTCCAGTCACAGTAGTTTCATTGCTTGTTATCTAAATTTGAGATAATGACATGGGGTAGAGGAGGCCACATGGTCCTCACGAGCCAAGGGAGCTCAGAGCAGTTCAAGTGCCGGKGGACTGTCCGGCACTCGGTGTTGCTGTCTGAAGTACCAAAGAAGCTCACGGTAGATTCAGTGAGGGTGGGAATAAGGTGGACAAGCACTGAAGCCAGGGATCATTCAGTCAGACAAGAGCAGAAGACTGTGGTTTTGGTCTTGGGTAATGTGCTCCTGTTCTAGGTACAATTTCTAGTGCCTTGAGTTCTGCACATTCGGCTGTGCCTCTGCTCGGGCAATGYTGAGACCTGCTTTTCTGAATGGCAAGCAGGTTGGCTTTGAGACACAGAGAGCACAGTCCTCATGGTATCTGAAAAGAAATGAATTTGCAGAACCAAAAAAGAAGTGAATTTGCAGAACCAAGGCCTGAAGTGAGCAGGTTTGGGAGGGTTTCTGGGTTGGAGGCGTAGGCTGTGGGAGAGGAGTGTTTAGCAGAGTGGCGAGCTGTGTGGTAAGAGCTGTGGGGACAAGAGACTGGGACCCTGGATTAGAGGTAAAGTATATGGTAGGTGAGAGAAAGTGCATTTGGTCACATTTACAACATTTAAAAGTTGAATGAAGAGTATTAAAATCATACGTGGCATTGCTATAAACTTTCTGTTGTTTTCTTTTGATTGGTATCACTTTCATTTCCACTCAAAATCTTTGTAACTATTTATTGTCTCCAGAAGGAGATGGAATAAGTTGGAAAATTGGCTTTACAGAGCTGATTGATTAGCTACCACTGGGCACCAGTTGTGCTTGCCATGAATGCTCAATCCAACCAAATTAACCAGAGTTTTGAATACATGCCACTCAGCACTTGCACAGCTTGCAATCTGGGGCTCAGCGCAAGCCTAAGGAAGGAAAGAAAAGCACATTATTTCCTCAATACCATGAATATAATGAAATAATGATCAGGGTTGAATGGTGCTTCAGAGAAGGATACAGATTCATACATAACACTGGTCGTATCCAAGAGCAAAGTAATTCACTCATAATTTGATAAAAAACTAGGTTGGAAATCAAGTTGAAATCATTCATTCGCCCTGGGAAGTAAGCTCCTACCTAGCCCTAATCTCTGTTTATTTTCTTTTTTTAGTAGTTTCCACTCTTAGTTCCCAACATGATGTTAAGGTTATAATGGCTGGTGTTGTGTAGTTGTTCCAATCTCCAGCAAGCCAAAGGTTCCCATTTCTTCTTGGAGCTCAGACCCAGCAGRAGCTTACCTGGACAGGAGGGTGGATGTGTCTGTAAACTCTCATGTCTATAGCAGATTATCATGTCCACTCCTTGCATGACTACAGGAGCAAGCCCGTGGCTCAGACACTGTGACTGCATGTCCTAGTGAAGGTCACTGGAGGTTTGCTCATGCATTATGTCATCCCTGTCTCCTCCAACACCGTGTGGGTCACTGTGAAGTTCTACACCACATGCCCAAGAAGCCCCCATTTCTCCTGCAAAGATTTCTTGAAGGTGATTTGGATGGTGTGTGTTCCAGGCTCCCTAAGGATGATGTTCATTAAACTTGGCCTCTTTGGATTTCTCCAAACCTGTAGGTTTTGGATATGCCTCCTAGCATGAGTCCTGGGTCTGCTGAACCTYCTGGTAAACCTCCCACCAATTCCCAAGGCCCCTAGACTTTAGCCTTGGATTTCTTTTTCTATAACAGAGGGCTCTGTAACATGGAATTTGTCACTAGAATTGTCAGTGTAAAATACTGTATTATTAATTCCCACACACATATGCACCTGTATCCAAAAGGCTTGGCTTGTTTGTTTGTTTGTGTGCTGCTCTTAYGCACTGTATTTGCTGACCAGGGTTTACCAGAGTGGTTGTCTTTCTCTGATTTCACTTGTAGTTCCTCGGAGTCACAGAACTCTCTGCCTATTGCGAAGGCTACTTTCTAAAAAATATGATGGTCCTCATTGAGAATGAAGCTTTCAAACAGCTGCTGTATGACAAGAACGGAGAAACATCTGGTCAAAACGTACTGCAGGACTTACAGAGGACGTTGGCCACAAGGATTCAGTCAATTCATTTGTCTTCTTCAAAGGGCTCCATTGTATAAAGCTGAGGAAGGCGRCAACACTCCAATAAAGACCCTGCAAGCTAAGTCTCCCGTTGCAGTTGTTTAAATGAATATTAAAAAAAGAAAAATCTCCTTCACATCCAAATAGTTCTGTGTTGGCCAAAGGTGCTGCGTTGCGGCGGCGGCCTCGTCGGGATGAGGGAATGCAGAACACGTAGCTCCTTGCTCTGAGCAGCAGGGATAGAGCCCTGCTTGTCAGTGAATCGCTGTTGTAGTCGCGTTCTGAACACACGAGTGGTCGCGGAGCCAGATGCCAATAAGAGCCAGAACCCGCATCAATGAACAGCAGAAGCCCCTGCCTGTGCAGTGATGCCGTGGAGGACCTAAATTAGTGATTTAAGGCTGTTTTGCTCCACAGTGTCACCCATTTAAGAACTATATCTCTCCCGGAGTCCATTATCGTGTGCATTTAAGAGATGTAAGAACTGCGAGTTGCCGTTGAGCAATGATTGACTGTGCTAGAGAGTGGGTAAGACTGTTGTAACTGAGGAAATAGACTGGCAGATTTTTAGGGGTGGGAACTTTTTAAATTGTTCATAAAAAAATAAAGGGGTGGCCTTGTAGTTTAAAAACTATTTCTTAAGTTTAAATTTTCATTTTCGASAGAGCTGTGTTTGGGAACCTATGTAATGTTTTGTTTTGGTTTTTTTAATGGTAAAATGTACATTGTGTAAACATAACCTATGATCAAGTTTTGCTTGTATTCTTTCCTAGGGTGGTATAATCTTGCCTAACAGGCTATGGTTACACCAAAGAGGTACCTTACCGAGACTATCTATAATAGAGTAGTTGGGGAGGGAGGGGGCAGGAGAACTGCATGCTAATCGTGACTCGGGGTTTCAAAGCGATGACAAACTCAACATGCATTTGCATGGTAACTGTACCCGTGAAATGTTATGTTTGTGCTTCGTTTTGCCAAGACAAATGCAATGTTACTTCTCGTCAAACTCCATTTGTGAAATTAGCATATTTTTTTAATTCAGTGCAATTGGTTGTGAGATGATACCCCCCCAGAGACCCTTCCCGAGATGCTGATTTCTGTTTGCTGCAGTGAAGGGATACTAACAGATCTATATTCTAGTAATGTGTCAATACTTTGCTACTGGCCAGAGAATGTATCTGAGTTAGACTTTTTTTTTTTAAATTATAATTAAATATGTACTATAGAATGATTTCTCACTGTATCTTGAGAATGTATAGGTTATCTACAACACAGGGCTTGGATGGGGTGRGATTGGGGGTGGGATTTAACAGCAGGGCTCCGTTTATTTTGCAGCGTACTGGCAGCAAGGCAAATGTGCTAAATGCCACCACGTTCCTGATGCTCTGCCTCTGAATAAACACCTCTCATGAACCGACCGATTCAAAACATAGAGACTGCAGTAGGAAGCAGGCAGAGGTCTTGCCTTGACCATGGCGAAACGACATTGATGTGTTTATTTATAGCGTGCCGCTCAGAAACTGTGCCCAGTCCACAGCCTCTAGACGTTTTATTTGGGCAGTGTGTGGTAACTCCTTGTTCTCTCGCTGCGGTGGCTGTGCCGGGGGCTCTTCCATCCTTAGAGCRTTCCGAATGCGCACAGAACAGTCTTGGCTTTGGTTAGCAAGACAGGGGGAAGCTGTTTTGTGACTCCGAGGTGCAAATCCTCCTGTATTCTTGGTCTTTTAAAACGTTACGGTATGTGCAACCRATTACAAAAATGTGTGAGCTGCCACCGGTGTCGCAAGGACACAGCATGCCCGTCAGTCAACCAGTTTTCCCTGCGCAGCCAGGTCCGCACAAGGTGATGGCCAATTTAGATGATCACAGCTTTTCTGCAAACGCTGCCAGGCTAGAGGAGCAGGAATGTGGTTGATGCAACTACAACACACCGGGATGCTTATTGGATGTGCTTCCTCAGCCATGGAAATCCATCCTTCCAARCCAGTAACAACTAGAGGCTAGCGAGAGATCTTGCCCTGCAGCTTCAAGTTTTGAAACAGCAGAGTTTTTCAGAGAGCAACCACAGGGCTGAAATCCTTCCCTTGGGTACGTGCATAATGCCCAGCAGGGTCCCCAGGAGTCGCCTACACATATTTCCATGGGCAGGATGACTTTCTGTGGGACAAGCATGCGGGCGCACGAGTGGCTAGGCAGGCCGGTGTCTCATGGGGTGGTGGTAGCCACCACTGTCCCCTCGCTCCTGCAGGGGTTGCGAGTATGGAGGGCTGAGCACGGCAGTGAGCAGCGCAGCCCACTGCCACCACCACCAGCTCTGCTTTAGCAGTCACCATGGGACCCCAGGAGAGAACAAGGTCAAAGCAGCATATTGCTCAAAAATGTGCGACTGGGTATTTTTGGATGTCCTGACTGAGACAGGAAAGGGTGATGGATACTGATTTATAAGGGAGTAACGTTTCCCCTTAAGAACACTGGTGGTGCCAGAATCATCAATGTATAGGGAAGGAACCTTTAAAAGTTAGGATTTCCTTCTTTTTTTTTTTTTTTTTTTTTTTTTTTTGACATATGAATCCCATAATTTTTGCCAGCAAAAGTGTCAGACTGTAACTCAAGCACTCATTTCTCTTGGAACTAGCTTGTGGATCTTTATGGATCCACAGACTGGAGTTTGCAAACTGTGATTTCAGTCCGTTTCACATGCCGTAGCACCAGCTGAGGTACAGCTTGTCCACTCCAGAGGACGTGGAACTTGCAAGTTCTTGAAACTTCCACTGACAGGAATCCACAGTCTTYACCTTGGAATTTTTTCCTAATAGCCAATTTATTATTTCTTTCCTGCAAAGCAAGCCATTGGGTTTTTTTTTTCAAGCCTTGACATGAAAAGCAGATGATCAATGGCCTTCTTATGAGAAAATTGTTTTGTGTGAGAGAAACCTCTCTGCTTTGCTCACTGGTAGAAGTTCTTCGTAGTCCCTTCAGAAATATATTCTCCAATTTCTGCAGTCATTCTCCTCTTGACTCCTTATTTTTCCCAAAATACTTTAGTGGGGATTTTATCCCATACAGAATGAACTGCAGTAGTTGTCTCATGAGTTTTACTTACAAAATACCTAAAAATATATCCCAAAACACTTTTTGAAAGAACATCCCATAGCATCTAGTCTATCATCCGTTATAATTMCTTGGGACTTTACTACTGCCTTACCAGGAGTTCCCATTAACATTTGTCCGTTTGTTAATACCTTTCAAAGTATAACACTTAACGCTCATCTTTATTAAAAGCTCTTCTGGCTTAACTGGGCAAGTTCCCTGCTTAACTTTGATCATTTTCAGTTTTGGTTGTGCCTTCTAGCATGTGGCATAATCTCCTGACTTTATGATACGTGGCTTCTTGCATGGATTCTTCATTCCATTGATCTGGGTGAGGAAGGGCTATGTGATAAACTTAGCCTAAAAAGCTGTGTGCATATCAGTGGGTATCCAGGAATACCTTCCCTATCAGATAAGCTTCTTCCATCAGAGATTTTTATTAGCATTTAGAAAGATATTATTATCATTAGAGAACAACAACAACAAMAAAAAACCTTCTGCTTCTTTGGTCTGTGTACAACTTTCTATTATTTGCCAATTTTGAAGTAAATATTACGTCCAGCATCTCTAGGTGAAATGGAAGAAATATAAAATTCTTAAGATTTTTTTTTTAATATTCTAGTGTGAAATGACTGATAAGTTGTTTTGGTTCCTTTGGTATCTTTTCTATACTAGTCCCTTGCTGTAATCCTTGAGGATTTGGAGGCATTCTGCCCAGCCTCACTGCAGATCTTTCCTTCTGCCTCTTTACAAGAGATTTGGCCCCATCTTAGTTTCCAGATTTTCCTCACATTTTCACCTTGCCTCACTGACAGCGAGTTTCCACACGTCCCGAGTTTTTATTCTTAAGCCTTGCTGGATCCTTTCCCAAGCCCAGAATTGGTATCTGTATTCTCTCTAATGAGTAATTTTCCAATAATCAGCTTGAGAACTGAGAAAAGAATGGGGAATGTAAGAGGGCAGAGGTTTTGGACATCAGAGAGGAAGGCTCGTACTCTTTGCAGGACAAACTTCAACACTGTCTTCTTGTTACTCAAATTTTCCCTGACCTTTTCCTTATCCTTCTGTCCTCTAAACACATCTGGTGTCCAGATGCTCTCCACTCTGGAAAAAGGCCAGTTTTGTAAAGGCTAAGACTTTTTCCCAGCTAAAACTTTTCCTGCTTGGTCTCAGCTTCTGAGTACATTTGGGTAAATGTCTATTAAAGACGCAGGAAAACATCTTTAAAGATGTGTGAAGGCTCAGTAGCAAGTCTCCTGTGGACACTAATGAGAGCTGCCTGCTGAATCTCCGTGTGCTCCTTTCCACACTGAGCCTTTTCTGTATTCTGTCCTGAATATCYGCCGACCACTGGCTGTGTCTCATACCCTGTGCTGGCCCTTCTGCATGTGTTACAGCATCTGGTGCATTGGGGCCCTTTCAGGAGCTCTCGTTTTGTTTCAGCATAGCATGATGCTCTTTGAAGATTAAAAGAAAAAGAGAAGATGCCCAGTTTGTACTGGAATAAATKGCTCTGAGTTGGTGTGGTCAGAAGGAAGAAAGGGAGCCCCTTCTTCCCCATATCTATCCAAAATTGCAGTTCTCTTATGGCACAGAATGCTACTAACTCCGTGGAGACTTTAGGTATGTGAGACCCTGTGTAAGTGGACTTTTATGTTCAAGAAAAATGCAAGTGTTGTTGAAGTTCACATATCCACATACTCGAGGCAAAGCTCAAACCAGCTTAGAGAAAAGRTCCTTCCCAGTACCGTTGTCTGTGGGTCAGATCCTAGAACCTGGGAACCTGCAGAGCTTGTTGAAATTGGTTGCAGGTATTTAGAGCTGGTCCTGTCTTAAAATGTTCCRTCTTCCTGGGGAAGCTTCCTTCACTAAAGCTGCCTCTCAAGTCAGTGGGTGATTTCCTTCTTTCATGAGAGCTAGTTACCTAAACAAAAAGTCAAACAAAGTCACACAAAGAYTTGGAGTTAGTTTGCTTGACAAGGTGTCTTTCATGTGAGGATCTGCAAGGGTTTACAGAAATGTAGGGCTGGRTGTTTCTTTCATCCCCTCGCCCAGAGACATACGTCCATTGAAATATATAAGGATTAAGAAGGATGTTTAGGATGTGTTCAAATATGTAATAATCCAACTTTCGGGACAGTAACCTTGAAATAGCTCTCTGAAATCCCTGACCTGAAATCCCATACATGACAAAATCACATACTTTATGTGACTGTGTATGAGGCCAACATTTTGTCTTKAACTCCTAGCACTTGCAATCACGTCTTCCATTCATTTATAACAAAAAGTAAGGGATTTTTGTTCTTTCACGTATTCATTACTTTTACCAGATTACCAAATTTCAGTGGAATTATTTCTGGCCTATAATTCATAACTGGACTTCAAAGGCAAAAATAGCAAAGTCTTCTGCTGAGTCTTCTGCTGTGAGCTGCTGATCTGTGAGTTCACTGAGACCACTGCTGAAATATTACAAATGTGGCGCCCAAAGCAGAAAGAAAATCTGCCAGKAAGTTTAGCAGTAATATTTCCTGAATTAAGATCTTACCAGAAATGTAAAGAAACTAACGGGCATTTGTTAACTGATTTCTAGAGGCCTGAGAACTAAGCTTAGTGAGTGTAGGATGGAGGTGTTTTCTTTCTTTTTGGCGTCAT